GCGAGATTCAAAGCAACCGGATCGTGTGAAAGGCAGAGAGAGAGAGTTCTGCAATAATTGTGCTTTGACCTGCAATCGCGGTGGCAAAGTGAGGAAAATGAAGGTGATTTCGAAAGGGACACAAACCAGAGCACCGACCTGGTCACTCCATATCGGAAAACCACTAATTCAGCACAGGATATTGGGTGTCGCAGGACACTATAGCATGACCACGACGTGATTGTGCTAGTGAAAAGTTCATCAGTTCGTAACATTCACGTGGAAATTTTGCGAGAATTTACTCATTATGCGGACTGAGTGATGTTATCAGTAGCACCCAACTTTTGTGTACACTTCAAGTATTTCTAACTGAAATTCAACACAGAAAATTACTGAAATCAATCCACTTACATATATTAAATAAAAAGAAACAATTGATAGATTTAAAGTTTGCTTTTAAACTGCATAGTGCAATTGCTTTGTGAAATATTGGAACGGTCCTAATGAGGAGTTTTAAAGATTAACCATAGCGCTTGAGGGTTATTAAAATGTGATACGTTTTGCATGCTTTAGAGAGTGAAACATATTTGAATAATGTACAAACTTAGACACACAGGCACATGATGCGTTGGGATTTGCTCTCATTTCGCTCTGAAATCGACAATTTTGCCTCAAATTTCTGCAGAAAGTCATATCCTGGTCAAATTAGTATGCAGAAACACATAAGATTTTGCATGAAATTTCTCCTTTAATCCTCGAGCACTAAGTATAATTTAGACTTGTAAAGTTGTTCATGTCTCATTCGCCGCCTCATGTGCTACTGGCTGCAGCAAAACATCCGGGTGAGAACAACAAGAATGGGGCATTTTCTAACACACCAGCTCTCCACTAAAACTCCACACATCTATCTACATATTTAACGAGAAAACGAGGCGCATTTAAGATCCACTTGCAGCACCACGACTCACCCTCAAGCCATATTTCATTAAACATATGCTTCAGTGGCGAAGGGTGGGAGTTTCAGGGCGCTTCCGCTCTCGCTGGTGTGGACAGGGAGGCTGCAGACGAGCCTCCTGCAATCTGGCACGGGACCTGATGCCCCACTCTGAGGCCTGCATTCGGCAACTAGGTGCGAGCGATATCTAGTCTAGGTGATGGTGATGTTGTTGTAAAGTTTACATATTACACCACTAACGAAAGTTTATGGTGTGTAGCATCAAAAAGTTTTCCAGCCATTCGAAAGTGTGGATGAAGGGATAGCAGCCCCGAGGGCATCCCCATTCAGTGTCCAGAAGTGCTGAAAAGTGTCTAATATTCCGTCTTTCTGCCGCTTCTCGCTCACATCCGCACAGTGTGTGTGTGTGTATAAATTAATTGAGATTATTAGCAAGTATTTCCGCAAACTCGCCCCCGAAAGGCAAGAAAACACCAAAGGGGAAAATTATGTGCACCATAAATTGGATTTACGATGTGTTTTCCTTATTAAAGACAACTCCACTCCGTGTACTCGTATTCTCTTTCAGCGATGATTATCTTCAAATGGCCACACTGTGGAGACCCCATGAAATTAACCATCCTCCACATTCAATGAGATATTCAAGGGAGCATCCCAACCCCAACGTCATCCGACATAAACTCACCCAAGTCTTTAATTGGGAGCCAAATGACATATACTTTAAGATTATGGGCTGTCCCTTTAAGAGGTGAACACTCTCTCTCTCTCTTGCTATTTATTCTATTTGCAATCAAATTACTTGCTCAAGTCATACTTGTAGCATGATTTCTTCACAGACTGAATCTTCTTTATGGTGTTGCCACAAATGAAGCAATTGAGTCATAAACGGATGAAATTAGAGGGGAAGTTTGTCTGGGAATATTCCCACAGGATGAAATATTCTCCCACTAATTTGGGCACGTTTGATGGAAATATTATATTAATTCTCAAGACAGAATATTTTATCAAGGGAAATGTTGATCAAAATACATTATTGGATTAAGTAGAACTTTGGTTTTTTTCTGGCTATCCAAAATCTTTTAATTCATATGTAAATATACTAAGAGAGCCGCAAATGTGCGAAGTGACGAATGCTTTCGCCCCTTCTTTTATTGATATTAAATTTATATATTGATCCCGCCGTTTCACTGAGGCAATTAAATATTCAATTGGCATTGCGAATATTTGGGTAGTTTGGCAAATATTTGCAATCGCTTGTTAATGATGGGAAAGCGATAATAATGTCGGTAAAATTAATATGAATACTGGGACAATTTGTTAAAAGTTCATCATGAATACTTAATGAGAAAATTGCACGATATGATACCAAGAGTTGTTTAAATTAGATGATTTATTATTGAAATTTATATGAGTTCTAACTGAGAGTGGTTTCAGTGTTTCCACTTTCACTCTTTCTCACTCGAAATGTCAGCTTTGAGCTTATCATTGGGAAATGACAGTTTCGTGTGGTCATACTAAAATGCAGAGATGGCCATAAAGTGACGCAGCGGAATTTATACCGAAAGTAGAAGAGTGGGTGAAAAATTTGCTGGCTCTCGTAGCGTTAGAATTTAGAACGAGTGCAAGTGTACGTGTGTGAAATTATGAAGTTGCATGGTGGGCGGAATTTTTCAAATGGCACGAGAGGTTCTCCTACGAAAAATGCCATGAGATTGGGTGGAATTTTGCCTGTTTTTTTTCTATCCATTTTGGAATTTTACATGATACACTACTTAATATTCTCTTGAACAATGTGCACAAAAATTCTCAACACGGCTGCACAAAAGCCACAGTTGTTTTTCGTGTTGCTCATAATTGTTGGTAATTATTATTTTTTAAATATCCGCAATTTGTATAACGTGTTGCTCGCATTCATCACGAGGACCTCTTAGTCACCTCCGGTGACGCTCTGCCCCGGCACGAACGCAAACGCGGTGGAACCTCCAAAAACGTGGCGCAACACGGGAGAAATGGAGTGCAGAGGAACATGCATTGTGTGATAATCCCATATATTTTTTCCACATCCTAGAAACACACACTATTTATTTATTACACTTCTCATGCAATAATAATGCAGAGGTTTGTCATGCTAAAATGTGTCTTGAAATTTAATATTTATTGCATATTTAATTAATCCCATTTTCCATTTCATCGCCAGGCCATGTCATACACAACCCAACCTCTGCCCTGAAACCTATGAGGCATGGCACTGTAATCTCACCCTCTTTCTTAATGTCCAATTTAAAGGCATCCCGGGAGATAAGAAAAAAGTCATGGGAAAATTATAAGATATCAAATTTCCCTTCACCTCTTAATCACTCTCCCATTTTTACGACCATGGCGGATTTTCCTCCATTAGGAAGCAATCCAGAGCCGAGTGGGCCCAAATAATGGAGCACGCAGAACGACTTCGGTGGGCCGAGAGCCAGGAAAGGGGAAAAAAGCGAGAGAAAATTGAAATAGTATTTTAGCCACTGCGGTACCGTAGTATAGGGCAAAGGGGTTGGAATTGAATATCCATTAATCATAAAAGAAACCCACCAGAGTTTCAGGAAGGAGACTTCATCCACGTGCGAGTAGCGAGTGAGGCCAAATCTTTAGTTTCACGAGGAAGAGGAATTTTAATTTGGATTTTCGGATTCTTCGAGTTTTGACTTTCGATTTTGAGTAATCATTTTCTATCTCAATTGATTAAAGCTCCATTAGAAAATAGCCCGAGCCTCATCATGTCAAGGCATCTCTTTGGTCACTCCTGTGTAAGAGAAAGCCTTTGTTTAATACTTATCAAGTGTTCTTAGGAGTAATTGCTGGTAATTTGTAGAGTGTTTGAGAAAGCGGCCCAAATACAATGAACTGGCTCCAGCACAGAATTCCCGATGGCGAAAAGTGGAAGAAGAACTCAGAGAGGCAGCAAATAGGAGGAAAAAACAATTACAGGTGATCCCCTCGCAGTCCCCAAATTGATTTACAGCATCAGCCTTTCTCCTTCGCCCGTAGTCGGCAAAACAAAAGTGGGTTAGGTTGGAAAATAAATTGTGTATAGAGAACTTTTAATTTAGCACTTTTTCCACCAAGATTTTTTCTCAATCATTCCTGATACAGCAAGAGAGGGTAAATTAAATTTGCCTCGCTTTTCTGGGTGGAAATGTTCAAATTAATAATTGAAATATTGGTTGGAAAGAGATAGAATGATTGAATTATCAAGATTGCTTTTTCCCAGGAATATATGTTGCATTGGTGGTTAAATAGGTGAAAGAGACATGAAAGCATTAAACTATCTGTGTCAGAGTTTTTTTTCTATCATATTTTTCCATTTATTGACACAGAATTGTGAGAGTCTTGTTGAAAGTCAAAACTTTATAGCAGAAAACTTTGCATGCTTTTGAACACTTGTTCAATTGAATTATCAGAAAATGCTCAAAATGGACCGGAAAATTTTAATATTCAAACGATAAATACTTACGATGAGGAAGAGAAATTAATTATCTCTGTTCAGCATTGATAACTTCCAAATACATCTCACGAAAAACACATAATATAAGAAGAGCTTACGCTGATTATAGGTATATTTTCCTTGTCTTAAGCATCCGTGATTAAAGAATATGTTATAGTTAATCAGCAACTGCAGCAACTTTGTTTAACTTTCAAGCTTATTCCCCAAATTGTTCTTTAATTCGACAGGAGAAAATTATTGAACAGTATTTTATGTGTTGTAGCAGCAACAAAAGTTTTAAGTCTAATAATTGCTCATGAATAAATTAGAACTGCCTTTTGAGCGACTCGGGGAAATTTCTGAGAAAATTACGTGAGAAATTTTAGTGGAGAAGAGAAATTCTAATGTCATTTCCGTGGTGGATTGTGCAAAATGACATGTGAAATGGAGCATGTTGCTATAAACGATGCCAATTATCTAAAATGGTTGAATTATTAAAAGATTGCTTGGAACGGCAAAACACCTTTCAACATAACCCAATGAGGAGGGGTAATTTGAGAAAGCAACAAGAAGAAGTTGTAAATTTTATCTTATTTATTTATTCATCGTTAGACACTTACATTTAGTGGTATGTTTAATATAATTACTTTTTAAATTCTTAATTTACCATAAATTATGTCAAATTAAAATCTATGTCTTTTTTTTTTAGTAATTAGGTACATCCATATAAAAAATCTTATATTTACACCATGGATTTTCTTTTATCGCTTTCCCCACAATTAAAAATTTTCCTCATTTTGACATTATACGTGTATCGGTATTTACAATTTTTTTGCCTTGTAAATTTGGGGTGGTTCTTGTGATTTTTTCTCTCATTTCCAAAATTTCTTTTTCATCAATTTGTTTTTTTTTCTACATTTTTAGTTCTCTCCAAAATTCATTATAACTTTTTTCTACTTACAATAATCATCATCTTCAAATGTTCGATTTATTAACAGACTTAAGGGATTTCCAGATCATTTACGGAATGAATTCAAATGCAATATTTCAAATTGTCCACTATTGTAAAATCCTTTTGGTGTGAATTTTCCTATTTCTATGACTGACAGAGATCTACAATTTTTTTTTATCTTCCATGATACATGTTCTGATCATTTTTACACAGTTTGTGATATCAAGTATGGTGCTGTCATCATTGTGATTTCTCATCTAACCATTAACTATAGTTCTAAATTTTTCAATGCTTATCACAATACAATTTCTTGATGATTTCACACATGTCCAATTTCTTATATCTTCTTGCAATATGAAAAATAATTAAAGTATGAATATACTTCTGAATAAAACTGATTTGTTACGAGAGTAAAAATAATTATTATCTATAGAGTTTTTAAACACAATCGTGGAAATATTGTATCTGTGAGTTTTGCTCCCTGCATTATAAATTAATCGTCGGTCTAGTCATTACTGATGATGCCTTGAGGCATTTTAAACATGGATTTTCCACATCAACACTATTCTTCATTCGCTTCTTTCATTCTCTTCCTGAAACATAGTTTGCTTCATTAGGAAATCACTCTTTCATCCGTGCTTCTATATTGCAAAGAAATACTGCTTTAAATACGTTTTTTTGCCTCCTCTGCTGGACACAATTTTTTCCCAAGAAATATTTGCTCTTCTCACTAGTTCTAAAACGTTCCATCACACTGAGAGGGAAGGGAAGGTAATGAAATTATCTCATATTTTGCCGGAAGTGTTGAAATTATTAATTAATGTTTTATACTTGAAATTTTCGTAGCGTGTTATTTATAATTCAATTTACGTTTAATTCATTTCCTTTCTCTGCATCTTTTTACCTTTCTTTTACAAATTACATTTTTTTTCTCTGTATTAAGTCAACTTGGTCTATTTACACACTTAAATATTATGATAGTAAACAGTTTACATACCTCATGTTCCATTTTTCTGCGTCTTCTCTCCGCGCCACTCGTCTCCATCGCCAATCTCATTTCCCATGCATCTATTATATATTTAAGTCTATTTCTTTCAAAATTACTTATTACTTCTTTAAATACAATTTTCTTCCTCTGCCTCACAATCTTCTTCATCGCATAGTCAAATACGAAAGACATCTGGATGTCTTTTTTTGGGTTTTCTTTTTGGTTTTACGTGCGTGTCTCTTAGATTATCCAATATAACATCCTATCTTTCTAAGAGATCAATATCGTACATTTTATCGATCATGTGTCTTTATGCCTAAAAGTAGGATTTCGGGAAAATATATGGGGAAAGGGAAAATCTCTCATTAGATGTGTAACTCTATTCGACAAAAGATATATGTTTTTTTTTTGGAAAGGAAAATCTGCAATTTGAGAAGGACTCCTATTCCGACCTAGATCCTAATGTACTTATCCTCAGCCACACGCAGTCTAGACTTATCGGCTAAATTCTCACACGTGACAGATGGTGTAGTGGGTGCACAGCAGCACTGTCATGATGCCAAGGAGGAAGTGATGACGGCGAGTGAATGTCCTCTTGACAATAGTGTTGCCTCTACTTCGTGACGTTGAACTCGCCACCAGCTCCATGTCCTCTAGTCGTGGTTCGGAGGAGCTTCGTTGTGTGTAGAATTGAAATATGTCACTCACCTAGAAAGTGGGTTGAGTCTTTAAAGTGTGCCTCATTTTATGTATAACTGCATATTATTATTATTTAATGCATAAGAAGTGATTAATTTTATCGGCGAAACTCAGGCGCCAATTCTTTTTTGGTAAAGTTTTCTAGAAGGCATTTCATTGTTGTGCTTTACATTCAATATCCATAGAAATTGAGTGCCGCTCGCAACAGAAAAAAATCGACAAAGGCAATTTTTCTGAGAAAACTTCTTGATATGTAAAAGTATGGGAAAATGCCTTTCTTAATTGTAATCTAAGTTTTGCCTTTCATGTGATTTTTAAAGTACGGTAAGAAGGGATTTTGGAAATTTGATTTTATTGTGTTTCTTTTAATTTTACACTCCTATTATAGCACTGAGGTACAGAAATTTTGATTGTGTAGTGATTTATTTTTTAGATAGAAAAGCATATTCTCCTTCTCTCTGTCTCATAACCACCAGTGAATGACATTCAGTCGCTCTGTTGCTTGTAAATCCGGCAGTTGCGAAGAGGGGATTTCGAAAGTGGGTCGAGTTCGTTTGGGGGATCAGAGTGTCATGACGTCTTGGGAGTTATCACGTTATTTTCCATGCCTGAGACACACATTAGTGCATTACCTCATTCCATCCATATCGATTCTTGGCCTGAACAATCCCCTCGTACACGGAGGAGGGCTGCAGACCGCGCAGGTGGAACGACATGATATGCTCGCTGGGCTCTGGCGAGGATCTGGGCGTCGGGGTCAGGATCACGTCGTGCCATCGACCGGGTTGCTGGAATGTGTCGTTCATCTGCTCATTGGCCGAAGATTAATGCGGCAAATTGGGTCATTTTTGGCGTCAAACCCCAGCGTTAATTATTCATTCGGCAGTGGCATTGATCCAGGTGTGGGAGTCAAGGCGGGGGTGGAAAGGGAATAAATCAATAATGAGTGTCTATGAAATGTTAGACGCAAAGTGGATTGTTTGCTTATATGGTAAGAAACTTGTGTGCACACTAACCAGCAACTTCCTGTACAGAAGGCGAACTTCTTGGAGTGGTGGGTAGCTCATTACCTTCCATGTCATGTTGTACGAGTCCACAAACCTACTCCATGGCGGCGAAATGAACTCAGCGGGCCCTGGCCGACCAGATACTTCCATGTACTTCTTGGCGCGCCCCAGGGAGTTGTCAGCCACACAACTACATGGTTAAAACATCTAGTATTAGGAGACTGTAGCATTAAAAAACATTGCAGAGAAAGTAGTGAAATTTTACACTCTTCGCCTAAACTTCGCATGAAAGTTTAGTACATTTTGAAAGTGCCGAACGTACTTTCTTTCAATCGCAGGAGCTTTTTCAAGTATCAAACCATCAAGTTGTGGTATCTTTCAGCCGTAATCAACTTTAACTTGAATACGCTTTCGGAAAATATTTCTCGCAAAAGTTGCTCCAACTTCATTAACTAACTTGATAACATTTCCTAACTCTTGGAATTGGCTCTAATTCTTTAACAATATTGACGTGAAAATTCTTTTGAGTGGGTGTTAATTAATTTGAATATCAAAGAAATTTGCGTATGGACGATAAATGTATTCCACGGATCGTTTAAATTGATAAAAAATCCACGAGGAATGTGCTTGAAAAGTTTTAATATAAATATGCACCGAAATTCTGTGAACAATTTGCCAATAATGATTTGAGTAGCCAGTTAATTTCTCAGCACTTGTGAATAGCGTGAAAATTGAGCAAAGCGCCAAAATCAACACTATGACACAGGGCTGTTTATATTGGAGTGAAAGTGTAATTTTGTATATGTATAACAAAATTGAAACATGAATGGGCGGAAGTTTTCACAGCGGGTGGCCCAACGTTTGAGTTGGTGGGCTTATTTGCATTTGAGAGCCGATCAAATTAGCGGAAAATTGGGAAGCCTCTTGTTGATTTACACACTCACCTGTAATTGCCAAAATCCTCCGATTGTACATGCCTTATGCTGAGGGTGTGCTTATTTCCACGTGACGACATCACACGCCTGTCGGTGGGCTGAATGGGAAAGGAGTTCTGGAACCAGGACACCTACAAATGCAGAGGAAGAGAGAGAGACAAGAGAAAAAATTATTTATTCATTCGTGCTTTTGTTCTCGGATGCCCTCCTCTTAAAATTTGTCATCGGGGGTTATCAAGGCGGGGACTCAGGTGTGCTGCCGGAGTGGATTGAAGTGGGTTGGCTTCGAGTGTGATTCATAAGAGTGAAAAACCCCTTTTTTATCCATTTCAGCCGCCCCATCCACACTTGTGGATATTATCTCGGAAAACTTTCATCATTCACCCCAAACCTCATCGACAAAGTATCACACTTTCGAGGTTCACTTAGAAGCAACCGCACTGACAACATTTTACCACTCTTCGGCTCCTCTCACACGCCGCCAGTCTCTGAATATCACTTCTCCTCAGGGAATATAGGGGAGACGATCGGGTGCGAGAGGAAGATCCCAAATTCAAAGTGATTTAAAGGAGCTGAAGTAAGAGCAACCCTTACTAAAAGCACTCTCTCACTTGATAGAGTCTCTGCCTCGGCTCACACGGAGAGCCGAGACAGCAGCCCCAGAATATTTTACCCTCACTCCGGGCCCCCATTTTGGGGCTGAACAGGCGTGCGGAGGGCGTAGGAGCGAATTGCAATATTTTGGTACACATCAGCTCTAGTGAATAATTCAACAGTGCTCTTATCCGGACGAGCGGTCTGGGGGATGAATATCGCAAGTGGAATTCAAGGGGGTGAATATATCTTGTATATGTTTCAACACTTAAGTCATTGCTGACTAAACTTGAATCTCTCTCATTTACCATATTCCCACCTTATCCCGACGAGAGGGATGCCCTCCACTTCAATTGAGGTCACGCGATAAAACTGCTTTTTGGACTTTAATGACTGTGAGAATCATCCTGTAGACATTTTCCATCCATTCAACCAGGAGGATGCTCATCCTCTCCCTATCAATTCACACATTCAGCCCGGCACACATGTGAGCCATTAGCATTCAATTAAACTTTCAATTGTGGGCGGAATTTACAATTTCACCAATTTCTCCTCCTCAAAGCAACACAACTGAGAACGTCGCAGAGAAACTTTCCATTTTCCCAAGACTGAATTCGTTGTGGGGTGATTTTTGATGTTCACATTTTACTATTATGCCTTCACCAGAATTTTCTTACATATTCCTGGAGTCATTAAAACTATCTCACATGCTAACATGGCATTAACAGTGGGGAAAATAATTGTTTTACCACCACCTTCTTCGCATTATTTCGCCATGAAACAGTCTTCACGAAAAACTATGAGTATTTTCTCTGCGGTGCAGTGGGAACATTTTATGGCCACTGAACGAGTGGATTTGTGAAGGTGTTGTGAAAAATGTGAAATATCCAGGGTTGTTTTTACTTGAGTGCACCCCCATAAAACCCTTGGGCCGATTTATCCCTTTATTGCTCACGGGACTTTATTAAATCATACATTGTATAAAATGGTGCTAACATTTTTCAATTTAACCACAAGTATTGCGAAGAGAAGGCGTCATTACTTTATTTGCCTTTATTAAAATTCTTGATCGCTATGGCAATATCTTTTAAATATGTGTGAATATGAGAGGGATTTTTAAAGAAAAAAACTTGCATCAAGAGAACAATGACATAATCTCCAAGAGCCTTAAATTAATAATTCTGCTATAATCACTCACTACGAAACAGATTTCACAGCACACTCCATCGCCAGAGTGTTTCACAAAGTGAAAATCCAGAAGCTTTATTAATATTTACTTTGGTGTATCATCATCAATTAAGGGATGAGTTAAAATGGACAATGAAATGGAGTGATTCTTACTTGACAAATGGATTTATGCCTCATATGAGCTGAAGAGGGATTTGTCATTCTCCCTTTTGCGTTACACTGATGGCAATTACTTGGGCAGGAAGACAATGAAGAGGAGGGTCTCGCTGTGAGATTGTGCATTTCTCTCCCCAACCGTGTATGGATTCCCACAACAATGAAAACATCTCCATCATGTCAAGCTTTTGAGGGGTTATGAATTGATAATTAACAATTAATCGATTCCATTTCATTGATGCTCAATTAATTGCAGAGCAATAATTGGATTGAATGAGGTGAGAAAATACTATGGCAGAATGGATCAATCGGGTCACACACAGTTCGGATGTGAAAGGCACAAATGGACCGAAAATCGAAGGAGCTAAATAATTGTCCAAGTACAACATTTATATTATATTGTTTAGTGGACCATTTACAAGTTTTCCCAGCTGGAATATACATATATGTATGGTGAATGTGGTGTGCTTAAACCTCCAGGATTCGCCATTATTTTCACTTCCTACATTCTCACAATTTGGTCTAACAGCAAAATGGGGTTTGATAAATTATTCATCCCCATTTCGCAAATACACAAAGTAACAAACATGCCTCGTCCCTTTTCGCTGCCGCCCGCCAGAAATATATGTGGGTGTGGATTTGGGGTGACATTGGGGATGATCTGAGGGCCAGTGGCGGGGATCTGGAAAAATTGGAAAAATAGCCCCCGGAGATGGAGTGCCTGATCCACGTGTAAAATGATGCTAAATTGAAACCCAAATATAGGCACCACAAACTTTTTCTTGCTGCCCTGCTGGGATGATTATAAATTTCTTCGTGTCTTGTCTCAACATAAAATTATTCACTGAGCCCGAGGTGAGTTGGGTAAACATGTAGGGAACTAATCAGTTAGAAAAGGTAAAGGAGAAGCTGTGCTAAGGTATTTTATACTGAGAATACAATTTAGAATATGTGTATTATTGGTTTTGTATCTCTTTCGGTCGCCTTTCCAAATCCCCATGATTATTCTCAGTCGACGAGAGAGGCCAATTTGGAAGTGAAATATTTGCTACAATCCTGGAAATTGCATCGTAGTTTATCGATAGGAAGGTGAGGATAGAAAGTCAAGCGGAAAATATTGTCTCCATGGGAGCAATAAATGGTCATTATGGTAATTTTACAATTGAAACATTCCAACCCTAAATATTGGATATTCCTGTGAGGAAACTAGCAAAGACACCCTTACGCCACACTTATACTCTTGTGGCTCACAAATTTGTGATATATCTCCAACGAGATCTCAAATGTCCAAGGTTCTTCAGGATCATTCTCCACTTGTACATTCACACTGCACATATTCAGGTTATAAGAAACTTCGAGTCTCAGTTTCTCAGGCAGGAAACAACAGAGCCAAACGATGGTGGGTAACAATTTATAATGGATATTTTATACAAATTATGTTCAAATATTTGATGGAGAAATGCAAAGACGACTCCTCACCAGCAGAGCCATCGCATAGTGTTACATGGGAACGATGAGAAATCGTTGATGCGAAATTCCAAAATAAATAATTCATTTTATTGCCAATATTCCATTTTCACGTTTAAGAGTGGCGTATCGAGGAATTCCTCCGAGGGTGTTTTCCCAGCAATTTCTCACACTGAAAATCCCTCAATGTGTGAAATTCTTGCCCCCATTCCAACCACCCATCGAGACCGCCTTCGATTTCCATATATACAGAAAGCCGTGAGTTTGATGTAAATTAGGCAGAGCTGGCAGGGTGTTTCAAGAGACGCTCTCATTCTCAATTATCCAATTTAGCCCGTGGGGTGAAAAATCCATAATATCTCGAAAATGTGATAATTTTATAATGACTCCATTCAGCAGTTATTGCTCAGTTAACAAATCCGACAAATTCATTGCTCTTTTGGCATCATGGAATCCTCCTTAATTGGAATTGGAGATATTCTTCAGATTATACATTAAAGGCATTTAAACTTAAACTGTCAATCAGCATTAGTGAGGCATTCTCAAAGGGTTCTCACTCAATATCAAGTTGAAAAATTTATATTGACTTAGATTTATCAATCTATTTCTATCATGACAACACCCTTTTGATGCTGTTGAACTGTTTGGATTGATTTGCGTGACAATTTTGGCAATTATCAGTGGATTTATCACATGAGAGTTTCTGTTATCTCTCCAGCAAACATGACTGTGAATATTTACAATTTTCCACCTAATCCTCAGCATAGAGTAGTTCAACTGAAGAGGGCGGCAACAGAGAGAATTTTCACCTCATGAACGAAGATGACATCTGACCCCTATTTATAATCACATGTGTCGTGCTTAATTCCGTGTCCCCAAAGCAAAGCTTGCGAGAGCTCTGGCGATGGGCTGAGGGAGTAGTGAAAAAGCATGAATGGGAGATGACTCGGGAGGGCATTCATATGGTGGAATTAGGATCCTTTCACCAGGGACTGGGCGGGGAGAGACCCAACAAAGTTAAATATAATGTGAGAACTGTGTGTGTGGAAATTTTGTAAGCAACATTCATGAATCGTTCAAATAAGGAGATTCCCAGGCAGAGTCTCTGGTACAGATTATATCCATGTATCACGTGACAGTGGTCGTGTGACACAATTAGTTTATCACAGTCCAAACAAATTTCTCTTGTTTAATTATTTTCTACTCCATGTACAACCCCATTCTGGGGAGCGATTCACCAATATTTTAAGCACACTGGGAAAGATAAACAATTAATTACACAACACTAATATTATTGTTTGAGCAGGAATCTCACTCTCTCTCCCTCTAACATATTTGTATTCACTTTTGACATTTTGAAGAATAAGTTATTTCATTTAGCCAGCTGCACAAGCGAACGAAGTTGACGAGAATAGATTATCACATATTAATAAATTAAAGTCTGCATGAAGACAAATTTTAAAGTTTGTGTTATATTTTTGTACAATCAATAGAAAAGTATAATCAATTAAATTCAGGTGCAATCTCTAAAAAATTGAAGACTCTCCAAGTTCATCCTAAACTTTTTCACACCAGTTGTTTTTCCATGGACACTTAAATTTGCGAAATATTATTTCCAACCCCATTAAATTTATATCCACACAAACTTGGGTGAAGAATTTTAATCTTGTGGAAGAACTTAGCAGTGAAATGTGCCAAATTACAATTTTCCCGAGAATTGCCTCTCACACTCTACGTGATATTAAAGTTGGAGGCTTTCTTAAATTGCAATTTGCTAGCTTTCTGCCTATTGTAATTTTTTGGCACGGCAATTTTCATTCTTCCTCTCTCTTGTCTCACTCTCTATAATTTAAAATTTAAAAGTCTTGTTCGCCCATTCCTCCTAACGACAGTCCCACGGCGTGAGATTCCATGTAACTAAATTAGCGCCATGTAGAACAATTTTTCGAGGACTCGAGGGGGTTTGTGGACCGTGAGTGGTGGTTATGAGTTAAAATGGTCTTTTGCTCATTATTCACCGAATTAGCACTATAGCATTTGCCAGTTTCAAACCACTACACCACATAGTCATGATAAATGGGGTTGTAATTTTTATTTCCGCCACCACATTGTCACCCCCCGCCTGGCTCTGGAATCTGAGCCGAGAGTCGGGGAGGACTCTTCTGTTCACTTCCGCGGGCTGTAATTTCGAGAGTGTTGCCAGTAAATCTCTTTTTGCCACCAGCAATTCAGCGTTAAATATTTCCTCCAGAGTGAAGAATTTACTCGGGCATTTTTTTTTTCAACTCCAGCATGCAAAAGTTCTGAATATCTTTGCTAATTTTTCGAGATCCCGCCTCGACCTTCCTGCATCCTAGGGAAAAAACTCTAATATGACACTCACCGTTGGTTGTGGGTCAGCATGCACGATGCAAACGAGCTGAGCTTCGAATCCCTCTCCAGAGTGCACCCAGGACTTTTCCACGGCGATATCCGGCGGGTCTGCAAGAGAGAGACAGAGAGAGACGCAAAAAATGTAATCCAGAGTTAAAGATGGCAGCTCATGAGTGTCTTTCTTTATCTCGAAAATTTATCTCCAGACAGTCAATCAGATGCCCAATTAAGCTTCCATCTCATCTAAAATGATTGCTGACCACGAGCTATTTTTAGCTTCCTACCTCGCCAACGTCTTTGTTCAGAGCTCTGCCACCAGGTTTTTCTTGCGGTTCGCACTCAGACAAATTGGCGAGCCATTTTCTTTCTCTTTAGGAAACTTTTAAACTCTAACTGGAGGGACTTTTGAAATTCATTCTTCCTCCCGCTTGTCGGGAGCAGCACACTTTCTTATTACCTTGAGATGAGACAATGATGCAGGAATTAGGAGAATGGTTTAACTCTTGTGATATGCGGAGAAACTTGTGTAAAACCCCATTTCTCATGGCTTTGACCTTAAAATATTTCAAATTATACTTCAAGATAGGAGTGAATGTTTGCGTGTGAATTATATTTATGGCTGGCAAATATTTATGGTATAATTTTATGGAACATGAACTTTATATCAGTGCTTCTACAAGTATGTCATACATCATTTTGGGGTGAACTTTATCGCGGAGAATTGAGCCTATTCACTCACCCCATGACAAAATCAATGTATACTTGTTTTAATATTTTATTTCACCCCTTCAATTTATGCTGATATGTTGATTTTGCATTTTCTCTCTTCACACAAGTGCTGCTATTCATGTGATTTACTATTGCTCATGCACTGATTTATAAGAGAGACTAAAAAGCAGTGAACTTAAGCCACTCAAAAACTCAGCACTAAGTTTTTTAATGAATATTTAAGTGTTTTTATCCACCATAAGTTGAAGTGAGGAAAAATTTTAAGGATATTTGAATGAAAGTTAGACTTTCTACTGTCGCTGTTAAAGCTATGTGGCAAGATCTTTCCCAAGTGAGAGCAGAGATGGAATAGTGTAGGAATAAAAGTAGAACAATATGATAGTTCCCTTAGATTGCTTACATTTGTGACCTTCCCTGAGGCCATATAGCCATGTCACCAGAGTACAACTTCCCAAAGAAGCGCCTTGAGAAAATTACCAAAAAGTGGTGACAAAGTAAAACTCTTTTATTGCAATTTTCATCGTTACTCACTTGTCGTGTCTCTTCATCTTGCTCTCCATTCGCCCTGCCCCTGTGTCCCCCCGGGGGTGTGAGTGTATCATTTTTGTCGGCACTTGCCATCCCTTTGTCACTTTCGGGTGAGATGAAAAATCAAATGCACTTGACTTCCTCAGCAAGACATGGGAAGACAATGGATCATCTGGAGGATATTTTGAAGAAAAGTCGATGAATCCTCTCCATCCCTCTCTCACCATCTAATCTTTCACATCCTCCCTCTCTTTCTTGCACATCTGCGCTTGTGAGTCCGAGAAAGTGCTGAAGAATTCCTTCTTATGCGCCAACTGCTCACAGGGTTATTATAATGAAAAATATCAGATATGACAGAAATGTCTCGAAATGTGTGTGTGTGTGTTTTTTTTGCTTTTCGCTCCCCATTTCTTTGTCGTTTCGGAAAATTGCTAAAATAATACGAAGAAGCACCGTAAGATGAAAGATGAGGAAACCACACAATATATTATTCCTGAAATTCCGCTTCTCTATTTCTGACTACATGCAGAAATACTGACTTTATGAAAATTCATTGTGGATTCTACTTATTTTTCCAGCAACTTATTCACTGGCTGGGAAAAGTTTAAGGATGGTGGAAAAAAAAGATATAAATAAAATAATACTTGTCATCAGAATATAAATTTCCTTCACCATTCTCTCAACAGTTCGCGCCCCATTCCACACATCCCCAAAGCTCTCAACAGGGGTGGTTGTCTCTCAGGAGGAGGCAAGAACACAACTTAGAGTGTCAGGTCTCACATGCCATCAAATGGATTTCCATTTATGAATCTAAGGCACTTTTTCATTTTTATGTGATTTCCCTCATGTGCATAATAATGAAGTCACCTTAATTCCTGGGGCTCAACACACACCCTCAGCCACGCGACACAGCTGAAAACACTGCAGCTGTAGATAGAATACCGCCAGAAAATGTGTTAATGAATAATTTTCAGCTGTAAGGAAACATATCGAGGAAAAATGTTTGAAAGGACGATGAGTTGATATTTATCCGACTTTATTTTATCTAAGATAATTTCAAACGCGTGTAAGGTGAAACCGAATGAAGCCGTTATAGATGCTGAGTCACTGTTTGAACACATTCCGCACATATGAAAGCTCACAAAGCTCATATTACACTTTCGTGCATGGCTGAAATTTTCCACCCTTTGCGACTCCCATGAGGAGATTTGGATACGAGCAGTGAAGAAAGAACAAGCAAATCACGAGGAAGAGTAGAAAAAATATACACTCGACATTTACTCAATGGAGTCTCTCTTCTTTTCATTTCTTCCCACTCGTGGAGGGTGAAAAAAATATCCTCACACACATGCACGGCGAACGAAAATGATGGCAAAAATGCGTACACAAGTAAATTACGAAAATCCTTGGAGTTTTTTTTTCTGGCAGAGACTCCCTTTCAGGAACATTGTCGGTCTCTTTATTTGCACCGTGAGACCCCATTGGGTGGGTGATGATGGAGGGAGCAGCATATGCTTTATGCTTCACGGCATAAACACAATTTGCCCATCAAAGGGGGTGGCGAAAGCTTTCTCATCTCTGAGGTGTCCCTTCGCCATCCCCCCAGCGCACAATGTATAACCGCAAAATCACATTTTTCCACAACAAATTCATATTTTCGATTCATAAAGCCTCTCTCCTGTGGCTCTTCTTTGTCACCGTGCATTACAATGTGCCAATTTGAGGTGGGAAAATGTACTAAAGGAAGAAAGCAGATTTTGCTATTACAAGTTACATTATTATGAGAGATAAAGTATGAAAAATATATAGATTTAATTATATCAAATCTATATTTGTAATTGCCTCCTTGATAGTTATCGGAAAACTTCTTAGAATCCAGATTTTGTAGCATATTGAAAGACTATGATTGCTATTTGAAAATTTAATACTTGAGCATTTGATGTTCATGATACACGGATTGATTAGAAATTCTTTCGGAACCCCCAGCGTCGCCTACATTGTTGGGTGTCGTGGAGGAAATATTTTCCCATTATGAGAAATTGAAAATTAAAGCCACTTTGAAGGTATAGCTGGATTAAGCTCTGCGTCTATGAGGCTGAAAGCATCTGAAGTTGATTGGAATGTCACTCACAGGGGAGTTGTTTATAAATGAGAGACACACATTGATGGCGCTATCTTGGATATAAACTGCAAAATGGGGAAGAGATAAGGCAATCTATTTCAACACCGCCTCGTAATCAACTCCTTTGCATGCACCCTCTTTTCATGGGGGAAACACCCTCGCCGGCAGTGAGCGATGCTATCAGAAAATCGCACTTGTGGCGCTGGAGAGTTCTTTCCATCGATTAACATTGTTTTTTTGCTCCTTTCTTTCCTCTTTTAAACCTCCTCTTATCTCACTTAGCCGTTCTGTAGAATTCATGGGAAATTGTACGTGGAGCTAAGAGAATTTCATTAATGAAATGACTCGGACTTCTGTCCAGTGGCACATGATAAATTTATCCATGAAATTATCCTGAGAGCTTTACATTTTCACATATAATTCCAGAATAGTCAGATGGTGAATGAAAGTGCATTAAGAGCTTTATTTTTATGAAATATTCTTGCCATCTAATATGTGAGTAGCTAAATTTTTTTTAATTCTGTTTTCCTGCGAATTTTATGATCGTTGGATAAAGCTGTTTTCCAATCAATGTCCCTATTGTTAATTTAATTCTGTGCAGTCAAAACTACATTGATTCCATTTTCATCGCGTTTTCATACTTTATCTTTCGTTCTGAACTTTAAACAAAATTGGTTAGTGCATTTGTTACATAAGTTTCATATTCACGCCTCACTCCATTGCGAGAGCATTTGTGTTATATGGCAACAAATGAGTGCTCAACGAGGGTGGTTTCTCGACAAGCTCGCGAGACACACAATTTCCTTTGAAGCATTAATTCAGATGCATTCGCCCCGTATATGTATTTCATTTCCAGATTCACAGGGGGTTTGCTGAATGCTGAGCAACTTCATCGCTTCAGTGGAGATTTTAAAAATGGTTTTAATTTCCAAGCAAATTTTTCATTCTGTCCACTTCTTCATTTTGCACTCCTAAGTTTTCCAGTTGTAGCGGGAAAAGTATTAATTGTACAACGCCTCGCAATTTTTCTGATGACTGATATTTGTAATATATTTTTTGTAAATTCGAATTTCAATTGTTAGAACATTTCCATATCTCAACATATTCTTGATTTTCTTCAGGACTGTGAGGAATAATTCATTTTTTCATCAAATATTTAATATCCCAAATTCATCATGAAAACTTCCTGAATAATATTTTCGCCTACAAGTCTTTTTGTGACTAGGTGAGCACTACAGGAGTTCCTGCTTTGGGTGATTCGTGAGCCAGAGGGAGAAGTACATGCGAATGGAGACGGAGAAAAAAGCGACGCAAATAATAAATTGTTATGATTTACGATTCTAGGATTTTCATTACATACATTCTCTATTATGTACTCGTTCCTCATAAGCTATCCTCCAGCTGAGCCACCTTTGCTCCCGCCCCGTCGCCCCCTCCGGAGCTCACTTGTAGTGTAGAAGGCGCGGAGCGTCATATATAAATTGTTTATTATTGCTCGCTTTTTAGTTGCTACTTTAGCAACAATACACAACACGGTAGATTTACCTCTGCGCCAGTTTATAATTCTCACCGATCCGGCTGTCGCGGTCTACAGCGTGGATTTCCCGTCTTTTCGCCAACCCTCTTTCGGGGCATACCGTATTTCACATGTTATGGAAATTATTATTGTGATAAATGATCATTTTCATTGGACTGAGTATGTTGTGGTGGTTTTCTTCCATTATTAATACCACCCAGTAGAATACAAACACCAAAACTCGATCTCAGCGAAGAGCTTCGATGTTCGCCTCCTTTGTTTCCCCGCGAGCTTTCCATACAAGTCCCACAAATACGCCAGGTTAATTAATGTTCAAATCAATTACAACTTCATATTCTTCTCAACACGTCATTTTATCCCTCTCAAGAGCCCTTAATCACAAGGTATTTGTGATATTTGAATACAGGCATCATCTCAAAGCAAATATGTTTGAACGAATAATGGTGGTGAAAATAACGAAATTTCAGGTTTGTCTGCATTCAAAAGCTCTGCGCGACATATGGGAAAATTTTGGGGCCGTAAAATTACCATAAATTATAAATTATGAGTGTATTTGCTCAATTAATTTTATATTTACCCACTGTAATTTTGTTTCGTGGATGATAAATGATTATTCGTTTCCTTCATTCTGTCTTTCGGCATCAAATAATTTTACAGCATTGAAATTTTTCATTATACATTCACTTATGTAGTTACTTGCTCTGATAGCATTGATTTCATACAATATTTTTTGCAATATAAATTAATCTATTCCACGTAGCATATTACGAATTTATTCCCACATTTGAGTGTGATCCCAAAGTCCTTCATACAAAGTGTTTTCATACCATTCATATACATTTTTAAACAGCCAATTTGCCGTGAAGAACTTCAACACTGTTTTGCCATAAATGACAAACGTGTGACGAATACAATTGCAAATGCCACAGAAATATCCCGGATATTAATAATGAAATAAAAACTTTAAATTTCCTTCTTTTCTACACCTCTGCAATAATAAGGCACCAGAAGGCAAGAAGCTGAAAGCTCTGAGAATAATTCCTTGGCACTCCGGAGCCACGTTTTATGATCATCAGTGATGTTTATTTTTCTAGTGGAACAAAAACGCGGCATGGACCAGATGAAAAAAAGCAAAAGGAGAGGAATTTAATAATGCGACGCTGTTTTCTTCGGCGCTCCTCTCATCATCCTCAGCACTTGGTAGCGCGCCTTTTTTTCCATTCGCCCAACATATTTTCGCGAGAGTGAATAATAGCTGAGGCATTTCCTCGCGAGCGCCCGAGGCGTAGGATAATGCAAAGTAATATGTGCAAGGAGGAGAGCGCAAAAAGGGAGAATAAGTTTTTATTTGACTAAATTATGCTTACTTTTCATCGGCTCGAATATGTAAATGTCACTCTTTGAGGGTGACGCGCGGTGGGGGTGGGAAAAAGGAGCAGAGGCGAGAGAGTGCCATGGGAAAGTTGAGCAGTGACGAAAGCATGTTGTAGGAAGGCGAGATAAATCATATAATATGTGTCGCATTTATGATAATTTAGAGTGAGGGAATTCACAGACTTCTTGTCATATGGAAATTTGGGAGCCGGAGGTGTCGCAACCTCTTGGCAGCCGAAAGGAAGTCACCAACACTTTGGGTTGTGATGTTAGTTTGGCATCGATTTGTTGCTGAGCAAATGTCAGAGACAGTAAATGAAGAGAAATTCGATTAAACCGATAATTTGACATCATACAGTCTCTGCCTCCACGGTAAGTCGATATTGAATTTTATTTCACCCACAGCCAAGGCTGACTTCCCTCAAACCCCGGATATCCACATCATTTCACATCGTCATTGTCTCATCTCGGGATACGACGATTCGATTACTCAGGGTGTCTGCGCCTCAAACCCCTTGAATATATAGGGCGATGATGTACTTACATAAGACATCGAGGCGCATATCCAGGGTGACAGGCTCGCCCACTCCGTTATCCGCCGTGCACTGGTACACTCCGGCATGCTGGCGATCCACGCGCTCCAGGGTGAGGATTGGCCCCTCGCCAATCCGCGCTGGGGACGTACTTCCGCTAGAGCCGCCGCCACTCTGAAAGTGACACACATCGCACGGTTAGTCTGCGTGTCAATAAGCAATTGGCGTAGGCGACATTTTTGGGTCAGGGCAGAATTTGCACACTTCCTCAGCCACATGAGCCAGTGCTGGGGTGCTCATGTGAAGAATTGAGAGCAAGACATCAGTACTCACGCTTCGCTACTCAGATTTATGCAGATTTTCAAGAAGTTTATTTACTTTAAAATATTCACACTTGTGTCACGGAAAATACTTGCCATATAGTATTTGAAGAATTGCATGAGCTAAAATGGACGTGAGTGGATTGTGGAGAATTCTGAATTTACTGTCTAATTCCGCACAGAAAGACGTAAATATATTTTCTTATCACTCTCTTCACAGAGATGAGCATTTAGTTATTTGCAAGAATTTACGTAAATTCATGTCATCTTTTTTTTACGGTCAGTATTATTTTAAAGTCATGTACTAAAAAATAATGTAAAAACTATAAGTCTGCTGTTCCGCAAGAGAGGATTTCTATGTAATAAAATATACATTTATGCACGACATTTTAATTCATATGCGGATATGAAAAATAATATTTTCCATGACGTTTTTTTTGACTCAAAAAAGAGAGAGAATTACACAAGGGATTACGGTTACAATAGTTACTTTTCTATCACATGTGCTCTCAATACGTTTTCATCCCAATTGACATATGTAATTCCCCTTCACGAGCTGCGAGTGGAGTTTTTGACAATAGCTGGGGAGCATTGCGCTCTATTTTATGCAGGTTTTTGTCTGCGGAAATAATCATCATCTCTCCCCGAGACGTGCACGTCAAAGGGAATTTGTCATTTTAAAAATTGAGCTTCCCCAGAGAGTGAATATTCTCAGAGTCAGAGAATTGATGGTTGGAGTTTGCTGGAAAGTTCTGGGGCTCACCTTCTTGGTCCAGTGAATGGCTGGGACGGGATTCCCGGAGGCTTTGCATTCCAACGTGACGGAGCCACCTTTGCGGGCTGTCGATTGGCCACTTGTTGGTACGGCTCGTATACTTGGCGGAACTGGCGGGGGAAAGAATGAGGATGCAGCGTTAGTGTTTGGGGCATATCTCCTGTCTGATTGGCATCCATTGCAAAATCAGTAAATTGGAGTTAATTGGGGTGACAGTGAGTGATCTGGACGGGAGGATGGGCTCGGAATTGGCTGAATGTGTATGAGAATGAGATGAGATTGATGATGAGCAACAAACCTAATATTTCCACTGTATGGACTTGATCCTTGTTTATCTTGTCACTAATTTGACACACATAATCGCCAGCATCTTGTGGCTCCAGCTCAGTTATCTCCAAATTGTATCCGTCAATTAATCGCACCCGTTCGTCTCGTGTCACCATAATATTGGAGGCGGTTAATACGTTGGCCCCACGGCGCCACAGCAGCACATATGAACCTGCAATGGTAGAACGTGGAAAGGATCGCATGAGAGATTTTCAATCAAATTGCCTCATGTCTAGCAAAATCGGGATAACACGCCAGAGGAGACGAAATTAATGATCCCCGCCCAATTGGACCATTGCAGATCCGACTATCGCCCGAGATATGTTGGCAAGCGATGAACAAATATTCACACGTAAGAATCAAATAAATTCACTTCACACTTCGACTCGATTTGCGCAGATGGGAAATTGATTGCTACTTGCTCTGTTGGGAATCATAATGAGATCATTAATAAGTCATGGTGGAATTGAACAAGAATCAAAGTTAAAATTACTTCAATATATACTTTTTTTTTCTCCCTCCTTGTATGATGTCCTCAACGCACTTTCCCTTTGCCAGCACAGAGGGATGAAAGTTATTAAAGGGAATTGAGGGTGATCCTATTATTGAGCTTTGAGCGGCTTACAACACTCTGTGATTATAATGTTTGCTCGAGCGTGCTCGAGCTTTCATAATTTAAAATATAAATTTTTAAAGCTGCAATTTAACGAATTATCTTGGAATTATTCTATAGACTGAATACACAATAAGTGACTACATTTTTTAATCATTTCATTAACAATTGCTGATTAAAATTGTTTGGATTAAATGCAAACAGCTTATTTACTTGTAGTTAAAGCTTCATTTTATCAAGTAATGACTTAAACTTGCTTTTCCCACCTCAGCGGGCATTAATCTTTTGGGTCAATGACAATATCAGCGAATCGCATGGTGTGCGAACCCCATTCAAATAAAGTTCTCTAAAGAGTAGAAAGTCCTGAGATAAGATTTTCTGCACTTTCGGATAGGAGAAGAATGAGGACTTGTGTGTAAAGTTAGCGTAGTTATAAATTGCTGAGCGAGTATAGAAAGCAATTTGCACGGACTTAATGATATTCGTTCGTCGCGACTCTTCTCCTCTCTCATCATCATCATTTTCCTTCTTCATTCCAACTTTCCTATGGAGAAAAAAAAACCTGGAAAAGTGTGCCAACACGAGAGGAAAAATCTGGGCTTCTCTACCACTCTTACTCGCACTTATACATATTGAAGATGGTCCACATTGTCTGTCCTGAGTGTGACTTTTTCGTGAAGAATATGGTTTCGGGAGTTAAATTGACTTTATTCAAATTTGACGGGTGTAAAACGGATTTTCAGGGTATTAAATTAACTACAAGGAGAATTAAATACATCTTGAAAGACTACAGATTTGGCTCTGTTCATCTTCTATTCTCATGTGAAATCTTAAGTCTTCAGTTAATACATTATGTACTTTATCTATCAACTATTAATACCTCTCACGTGCTTAAATCTCCGAAGACGTTTATTTATAGATGGATTAAAGACTTTAAAGAGATGTAAAATTTTGAAAGAAATCTCAAACTGAATTAGCAAATTAGGCCATTTTCCCCAACAATGGAATCCATATTAAATTTGTTAATTTTGTCCTTCGCTGGGGAGGTTTCATCTTTTCAGGGTGATTAAACACACTCTCCTTTTAGCTCCAACGAAGATATTCTACGGAGCAGAAAATGGGAATCATTTCACGACGTCAGTAAATTATGGCACCGTAAAGATAGCGTATTAAAGTAAACACATTTTAGCCAGAAGATTCCAGAGGAACTTGATGAAGATAAGCATGTTGATATAGCCACACTAAAATTTTGTCACTATTTTTCCAACATTAATTAGGCCACGTTTTTTGCTTTATGTCTCTTTTTGCCATTCTTTAAATCATCCCCAGATTGATAAGGGAATCCGTGTACAGGGTGAGAAATTTGATTTCCTGCGTCCGAGCGCTCGTGCTGAGCTCTTTTCTAAACACGCAATTAATCATCTTGGCTGGGAAGATAAAGTCCCCACCGAGTCATTGACAATTGGGGTGCTGCTCGGGGTTGTATGAATTACATGATGGTGGCCCCTGGGTTCACCCATAACGCTGGACGTTCTTACGATCTTGAGAATGAGTAAATTAGCAAGATACAGGGTCGGACGCCTTCTCCATAATTTGTGGTGGTATTTTCTCATTTCGCATTTCTTCCTACTTTTCCCTACCTAAATTTCATTATCTTTTACCACAATTTTTTATCATCTCTCTAGCCTTACATTTTTAGTATTTGTCGCACAGAGAGAATGGGGGATAATTAAGAACAATGCACCACTGACTCCTAATGGATATTTTCCCTATCATCTCGCCTCTCAATTTACGAGGGCTCTTCTCTGATGGGTTGAATATTACACACTGTCCTTGTCCAAAATATCATATTTGAGTAAAATTACCTATTTTATACCTTTACTGCTCGTCCCATCTAATATAACACTTGGGAAGTTTGCGTGAGAGTTGAAGTTGATTAGACATGTTAAAGTCTCACTAATAATTCCATTCATTGGTATGTTTTATTTCTAAAAATAGTAATTTTTAAATATTTATGATGTAAAAGAACAAATTGTTCAATCTTCTCTCTAGTAATTCAATATTTGCTTCCAACAGTTTATTTCTGGCTTCGAAAGCCTTCTTGTAAGTCATCTTCCTCTTGTGTGTACATTATACATATGCTTAACCCAGTTTTATCAACAAATGACTGAATGGGAACCCTAAAAGCTCAATAATGAATTTGAGCTATGCCTTTTGTTCTCTGGATAGTCTAATTTTGTTCTCGCTCAAATAGCGTAACCGAACTATTCACTAAAACTATCGCAGTGTTGTAGCTTTAATTTTAATGTGTCCAGCAAATTTGTGAAGAGGCCGTATCAATTGGGTTTAATTTGTGCAAAACAGTCATATATACGATAATTAATGTGATGGTAATTAACGCAAAGTTTAGTCATATATAATGAAACTTTGACTTCTCGATTTTCGCGTTGGCCCGCCATGGCGGAAGTGCGGGGCACCCTTAAACGCAGCCTATATGTTCGTCATGTGGAGTCTATCTCGGCGAGGCATAAGTGGCAAAAGAGGCTCGAATTTGTTTTGGTAAATAGAAGATATTTTAGCCTCTTACTTCCTGTCGCCCCATGCGACAACAATATCACCCCCAAATTATACTTTAAAATGATGAGTGGGGAAGGGACAAGGAGCGGGAATTTGTGTCATTAGAGCAAATGATACCCTGGGTCTTTGACTAGGGGTTTTGCAAATGAAATTCCATTGTCAGATTTTTCATTTCCGCCAGTCTGTGGTGCGAATGTGGCGAGGTTATATTTAACAATGATGTAATCAAGGTTCCGCAAATGGGAAAAGCACTATGAGCAAGTGGCGGGTCTTCGGGGTTTTAGGAGTGCGAGGAAAGAGTCTGCATTTTTACACTCCTCACACCCCCGCCATCCACCGCCGCCTTTCCCCGTCTTGATGATGAAGACCGAAACTTTTCCAAATGATCTCCCCTGGACTAGTAGTGAGAGAAATCCCAAAATTGCACATTAAACTTCACTAATTCTTCGTACGGCCATTAGGTGGCCGTGATGGCCATAACTTCCTTCCGTGTTTCTACAATATTGAGCAATATTTCTCCCTTATGCCAGACGCCATGCACCCCTCCTGCCCACTCACATTTCCTCTCCTCGCATTCCATTTGATGGGATGACGTGTGTTTGTTTCTCAACCGCACAACAATGTTTTCTGCGCGCCGCTGGTGAGGTGTAATGCTCCTGTAAATGCGATGTTGCTAGCAAATAATGGTCCAAGATATGTTCCTTACTTTTGTATTTCAATTGTCAGAATCACTTCCATCGCACGAGTCTCTGCACTTTTGCCAAAAATCACTTGCCATCAGCCAACGACATGGAGAACTTTTTGCACAGTCAGTGGTAATAAATTACACGTAAGTGTAATAAAAAAAGAGCATTACTGGTGTTGCTAGAGATTTCTCTCAGCCTACGTTATTTTTATTATTATTCGCTCTGGCCCAGAGCTTAAATGAAGTTTTATTCTTTTAAGGGGAGAAGTTACAGAGAAAAATACAAAGTTTAGGAATCATAATTTTTCTAATTTGGAAAATGGATAAATATGACTCGAAGAAACTTCCTTATTAAATTTCTAATAAGACATTTTTCGACAATGTATAGTTTTTTACGGAAAATATGTTAGGTCTTTGTTTTCCTTCAAATCTACTGCATTGGCTGAAGGAAATAAATACAAAAACTTCATCCAATATCTTGATTTCAAGTGTGAAACAAGGTGCGAAGAGAAAAAAAATGTACAGGCCTGGAAAACTCCTGAGAAAGCGATGAGAAAGACATCAAGTCAAAATAATTCCGCAATTTTCTTCTAAGATGTGAATCAAATTTCCATTCCATCCAACCGATAAAATCCCTTCACTCGTTGATTTTGATTGATTTCTCGATGGAGAGTTGTCATCAATATCCCAGTGAGACGCGCAAAGTCTACTGGGAGAATCTCCTCGACTCTCCTTCTCATGGCGCAATAATAAATTTCTCGAGGAGTATTAATAAAAGGAGTGACTGTCAGTTTTTATGGGAGTGTTTGTCTTGAATGTGTGCGCCTCTTTGGCAGCACAAGTACACAAACGAAGGAGGAAAAGTGGAGATCTCATAAGATACACGTAAAAGTGTAGTGAAACTCAGTGGCGGAAGAAAAGAAGGAGCGGAAAACTATGGGTGGAAAAAAGCGCAATAAATTGAGATTTTAAATTCAACCAGACACTAAACTCACTCATTTCCATGGGAGCCTCCTTATTAAACAGACAATTGCAATAAATAATGGGGAGTCATTGGGGCGTTATGAGAAAGCGAAGGATTCAACTTGCGAACGAGGCTCGAAGTGGCGGGAAAAAAGTCGCCAAGAAGGGGTGGAAAAAGTTGGAATAAAATTTCTTGATTTATCACTAAAACCATGAAGATGATGGTGAAGCTCAATGGAAGTTTTATTTTATTTGATTTACGACAAGAAATGCTCCTCACTATGCGTCGACAAGGAGCGTTGCAATGTGGCGCGAAAATCGCTGTGGCATGTTG